AGCCTAAGAAACCATCAGAGAACTTAAAAATCAGTCAATTGAGCTTGTCCAGTTGGCGGAATGGTGGAAACAGTTGAGCACGGCGTAGGAGACCTTCGGGACACTATTAAGCATACTGATACATGCGCAATGGGAGTCGCAGAAGAGGAGGAGAGAGAGAATGGGGAAGAAAGACTATTTTAGGAAATAAAGGCCCAACGTTTCCCAAATTCAATTAAAGACATTAATCTACATACCCAAGAACTCCAAAACTTTACCCAAAGTCAGATAAACGCAAAGAGAGCTCTACGTTATAATCAAAACGTTGAAAGATGAAGACCAGGGAGGATCCTGAAAGCAGGGAGAAGTGACCCATCACTTGCAGGGCTCCTCAGTAAGATTTGCGGCTTGTTGTCAGAAACCGTGGAGGCCAGAAAGCAGCAGGATGACATAGTCAGAATGCCGAAAGAGAAAAAAAAAGCCCTGTCAACCAAGAATTCCGTACAAAGCAAAACTATCTTCGGTAAAGAGGGAGATACTAAGACAGCCCCAGATAAACAAAAACTGTGTTGCTGGTCGACCTGCCCTTTAAGAAATGCTAACCAGAGTCCTTCGGGTTGAAATGAATAGACATCAGATAGCAACTTAAATCCACGTGACGAAATAAAGAACGGTAAAAATAACCACATAGGTAAATATAAAAGTCAGCGCTAATATATTTTTGGTTGGCGACATCTCTTCCCTGCCCCCCGTATGACTTCAAAGACAACGGCATAAAATGATAATTATAAATCTATGTCAATGGATATACAACGTATAAAGATTTAATCTGTAACAAAAATAACTGTGAGGAAAGGATGGCCCAGTGTAGGAGCAAAGGTTTTTGTATACTATTAAAACAAGACTAAAGTAATTTACTATAAATTAAGGTGTTAATTCTAATCTCTAGGGCAACTAATAAGAAAATTACATACTTATAGTAAAGGAAGAAAATGGTACAGTGAAATGGTACAAGTGCTTCTGCGTAAGTAATTACATGAAATGTCAAATGGATTAAATTATCTAATCATAAGGCAGTAATCGACAGAACATATAAACAAATAAACAAACAGACAAAAACCAGGATTTAATTATATGCAGTCTACAAGACACTCACTTTGGCACAAAATAAACAAAGAACACAAAAAGATATTAAACGGTAACCCAAAGAGAGGGCATGTCTATACTAGTATCACACGAAATAGACTTTAGGACAAAAATTGTTATAAGAGACCAACACAGTCTATAATGATAAAGGGCTCGATACATCAAGAACATACAATAATAATAAACATGTACGCACAAAACAACAGAGCCCCGAAACAAATGAAGCAAAATCGAACAGAATCGGAGGGAGAAATAAGTTCAGTTGTAATAGTTGGAGACTTCAATACCTCACTTGCAATAATTAGACAGAAGGTCAGCAAGGCAGTAGATGACCTGAGTAGCACATTAAAGCAACTGGACCTAAGCGATGTGTGCAGATCGCTCCAGCCAACAGTGGCAGGATTCAAATTCTTCTCAAGCGCACAGGGAACATCCTCTTGGACAGACTACATGTTAGGCCACAGAACAAGCCTCAATAACTTTAAAAGATTAAAATCCTACAAAGAATCTCCTCTGACCACAATCGAGTGAAGGAAGAAGTCAATAACAGAAAGAGAATTTGAAAATTAGACAACATACTTTTAAACAACCGATGGGTCCAAGAAGACATCGTAAGGGAAATTGGAAAAATACAAGACGAATGCAAAGAAAATCCGAACATGCCAAAAGTTGGGCGCAGCGAGGCGGTGCTCAGAAAGTCACAGTCGCAAACAACTATTAAGAAAGAGGGAATATCTCAGGTCAACAACCTAAACTTCCACCTAAAGGAACTAGGAAAGGGGCAAACTAAACTCAAAGCAAGCAACAGGGAGGAAACAATCAGGATTAGGATGGAGATAAATAAAACAAAAATGTGAGAAAATAATAGACCCAACTAAACTAAAAGTTCTTTTTTTGGAGAGGAGGGAAAAAGCAATAAAACTGATAAGTCTGTAGCTAGATCGACCTAGAGAGAAAGAGAGAGAAGGCTCATATTACCAGGATCAGGAATGAACGTGGGGTGTTGCTATCGACCTCACAGAAGCAGAAAGGCCTGTAGGAGAACACGGGGGAGAACCGTGTGCCGACACATTAGATCATCTACGTGAAACGGGCACGTTCCTAGCAACCTACAAACTACCAAACCTTGACGGGAAGAAACGTAAAATCCGAATAAACCTGTAGTGAGCAAGGAGATCGAATCAGTAATCACAAACTTCCATCGACGTTCAGCCCAGTCACCCAATGGCTTCACTGGTGAATTCTATCAAGTCCTTTAAAGGAGAATTAACAGCGTTCCTTCCTCATCACTCCCCCAAATGGAGAACTGTTTCCTTATTTATGCGATCGTTGTTACCCTCATACCAAAGCGCACGAAGAGGTCCCGAGAAAGACACCCCTGCATCCTATTTCCCATCCCCTGGGTGCCCTGTGACAGCGACGTCCCCTCTGGAGCCTTCGCTGCTTCAGATTCTCGCTTCCTCGCGTCCCGCGCAGCGCTCTGCTTTACGGAAATTGCGTCACCGTCCTCCATCACCGGCTCCTCCCTCCTCCACGTGCCGCCAGTGACCTTCCACGGCACGCCGTCCGCAGCTCCCTCGCTGCGCGGTGGCTGCAGACCGTTCCCGTATCCGACGTGCCCCTCGGGATGGACGTTCGGGCTGTCTGGTGACTGTATCCGTACGCGCCACGCAGCCGCGGGCCTCGGGCAGCTCCAGCGTCTGCAGCCGTCGCTGAAGGGCTCCCGGCGGGAAATCCTGCTGGGCCTGAGTTCTGAATGGGTGCTGAGGTCCGACCCGCCGTCCATTCGGTTTCAGGAACCACTGCTTGTTATTCACTTGGCCTCCCTGCTTTCCTAGTCCCTGGCCCTTTGGGACCACTCACGTCCCGCCTCTTCTGCCCCAGATACGACGGAGCGGGCCCCACTTTCCAGCCTGCCCCCGCCGCCCCAAACAGGCCCGCAGCCGGGCGCGCCTGCCCCCTCTACCTGCGCCCTCTGCCTGTGGGCTCCAGGCTCAGGCCCAGGGGCTGGGCCTGGCGGGCCAGCGCTCCAGCCTTCCATTCTGTCCCCCAAGGTCAGGCTCCCACGGGAAGGCAGCTGGCCAAGCTCAGGCCACTGGAGAGTCTGGGAGAAGCCTGTTCCACCTTATCTGCAAATGTTGGCCCTCAGCTGCTCTGAGCGGGGGAGGGGGAGAACTTAAAGATGGAGGATGGAGGGAGGGGAAAGGCGGAGGAGGGGACCCAGGGCTGGAGGGAGCACCCCAGCAGCTGGCTGAGCCAGGCCCGGGGCCTCTGGCCCCTGGTTCCCCTGGGTGGGCTTTTCTATTTCAGGCCGGTTGCTCCTCAGTTAGGGAGTTCGCAGTGGACCGTGGGAACCCAGCCAGGAGGGGCTGGTCTGCCTCCCTCCCTGGCCCTTCCGCAGCCCCGTGGGCTCCCCCCGGTGCCAGGTGAGGGATGCCCCCCAGGCCGACACGCTCCCTTGTGTCCCCAAAATGAATGTTCCCCCCTCTCGAGCCAGTTGGGGTGCTCTCTGATCCTATCTCACAGAAACAATTCAGTCCTAAAAGCCTGGAAGTGACCCCAATGCGCAGCAAGGACCCACGGACAGCTGTGGGGGGGATGGAGCGTGCTGCGTGGGGGGACGTGGGGCCCCCCGGAGAAGCTGTCAGCGGAGAGGCTGGCTGTGATCAGTTCCTGCATGTGGGAATGTGGAAACGGTGTCTGCCAACAGACAAGGGCCCTGTGGCTGGAGGGACATGCGGGGGGGACAGCAGGGAAGCCCCAGCTCGGTCCCACTTGTGTGGCTTTGGGCAGGTCACCGAGGCTCTCTGAGCCTCTGCTTTCCTCATCTGCACAACTGGAATAGCTTAGAGCCACGTTTGGGATTTCAGGTGACTGCGTTCAAAGCCCTGTAGCAAGTGAAAGGCACACAGTAGGTGCTCAGGAAGGACAGCCGCAGTGGTTTTGAATAACAAGCACGAACGGAAGTGGTCTGACTGACAGGGCGGCACAGGTGGAACACCAGCAGCCGGATTTATATTCCTTAAAAATGCCCCCGTGAACCACTGTTACACAACCCCCCTCCACCTCCCCGTCCCTCAAAAATCTAAAGCCTTTGAAAAAAAAAAAAAACCTTTGGCCTTTTGGGCCTCTGATTTCCACCTGCCAGTCACAGGAGCCGTTTCCTCCTCACTGGTTGGGATTGTCCCTAAGCAGGGGGATAAGTCCAGGCCGGCAGGCGGGGCGGCGA